TTTTAGATATAAAGATGAAAATCTGGGAAAGTGGATTACCTATTTGCATATTTTCTGCGCTTTTTATTACAAAACATATGTTGTAAACTCACACATTCTACTAGGTACTGCCGAGGTCAACATGGTTGAAACCAAAGAGAAAAATGTCGGAGCAATAATGACGTGTTACTAGCAGGCCATACCTTCATGGTCAGCAGACGTAGAGACATTTGGTGTAGCCTTAACACATACAAATAATCTAAGTATTTTTTGTAAAGTCCTAACATGATGGAAATTCCTAAGAGCCCAGTTACACGATATATATTTCCATATGTAGATGCTACTTTTCTGCTGCGTTCTAATATATGATACATACGAGTACATTCAAAAAAGTAGCATCTACTTGTGCAAATACATATCGTGTAAGAGCCCTGTAACCAAGCTAAAAGGAGGTTCTAAGAAATCTAAATAAATACCTCGAAATTTTCACGAAATTCTATTGTTTTTTTTTAATTCTTGGTGGTCAGCTTACGTTTGTCGTTCATGCTGTAAACATCACATGCGCGAGCTCGGAGCGCGGAGGTTGAAGTTAAAAAATTTATTGCGGACGGAGTTTTTAATGGCCCATTCTCAAATTTATTCGGTCGTGACTGAAGTCTGATGTACATTTTTCAATAAAAATAACTGAATAGAAATAGTACCAAATTGAAAAAATCATTTGTTCATAAAAATGTACCTCTTTGTTTAAGAAAACAGCGTAAACATTAGGCCGGCTAGTTAATTTTATAATGAAATACTTTTCTTCGTATACGCAAATGTTTAGAGGTATTTTATTCGAGCGTGAAATTTTTGAAAGCTCATAACTCCAAAAGTTTTTATATTGTGTCGAAATAAAAAAATATTTGTCTAATATTTTGCCTCAGAGAACACAATAAAAATGTTTCGCACGAAAAATTTTTTTTTTATGTATATTTTGGATGGAATTACCCATATGCATTCTAAGGATGTCAGTGGCAAAAATGTATCGATGTTTTTCTTTGATTGGATGCATCGAAATGTACAACGGTATTTTTCGATGCAATGATTTGCATAGGATATTTCAGATAATAGGGGTATTCACGATCCGGTGCGTACTGTCTGGCATGGTGCATAGATGGTATATATAGCATGATTAGCTAATTTTGCTGTTGTTTGAACACATGAAACAACAACAATCATGCTATTTATGCTATCTATGCACCATGCTAGGCCGTATTCACCGGATCGTGAATACCCCTAATGTTTCACAAAAAAATAAGCTATTAGTAAAATTGTACAAAATTTTAAATAAATTACTGCAACCGAGCTAATTATGTCTGTAAGAACTGTTTGGAGCCGTTTGGAAATTTTTGGTCAAAGTCACTTCTCTTTTAATATGTACTAGCGGTACCCCGGTGTGCTTCGCTACACCTAAGCAAATACTGAAAAAAAAATGAAAAATCCTAAAATTTGTTTATATGATTTTAATTTCACCCTTCGCTTTGCCGTTAGCACAACACATGCCAGCCGTTTCACACATAAACTTAGACGATTCATAATGTGAGCATATCGCACTCATTAATCCAATTCATCCAAACGTACTGTAATCATTCTGAGGATTGTAATTAAAAGCAGCACGACAAATATTTTCTAGAACCACGACATCGTATTTGTCTTGGTCGTGGTGGATTTCTTGGCCACTGTGGTTCCACAGCATATACAGTAATAAACCTTTTTGAGTACTCCTCAGGGGTAAAATCTGATCAGGGTTGATAACGAGAACTCCTTGAATTTTGTTGATTCAGAGTTATATACAAAATAACTGTGGTATGAAATGGAGCATCAACCTACGTAGGGGCAGGTGGGGGACGGCACGAGCCCACCCCTAGACTTTGAAGTTTACCATATATGTAGGTATACCATCTTCGATTATTACCGCAGCGACCACAAAAATGCAGTTGCCAATATAGCAACTCAGTTGCCAGCTTGCAGTTGCCATCTGTAAAACCATTTCAGCCAGTGGCCACCCAACTGAAGTTCGGTTGCCATATGCCTAAGTCGGCTCAGCTCGATGTTCTGGCCACTTATTCTGGTACTTACATACAAATATCGGACCAAAGTTATAATACCATTTCATGCTCATGAAAGGTATAGTTTTTCAGATTTCAAATCGGTGAAGTACAAAATATAAATTTAAACATTTTCTTAACTTCTTCCCAAAATGTCATTTTCAAAAATTTCATGCATTGCTATGCCATGTCATTCCATCCCAAACATATTGTTATAGCATGTCATTGCTTCTTAGCTCAGCTGTTGTGTTTCTGCAGCATATTTTCAAAACTGTTTAATCACGCCTTGTATGAAAATGTATATAGCAGGGGTGGGCAAGGCCGAGGCCGAAAAGAGCCACATATAAGTTCTAAATGCTACAAAGAGCCACAAAAAAAGAACAAGAAAAACAAAAGTTTTATTTTTAAATAAAATTATTATTAGAAATGAAAAACATTAATTTTATTATTATTCTATTGTACCTAAGGTAGATATAAAAGAAAATTCAAAAGATGCCTTTCGAGAGATTTTCAAAATCTGGTTTTAGGTTAGTTAAAGCCGTTCGTGCCAATTCTGTTAAATGTTGGATAGCCAATAGGTACGTTCGTTTAAAATCTCCAGTAAAAAATGTCCAACAACGAATTTCCGGCGAAATATCATCTGTTCTCTCACAAGAGAAAAATATCCAAAATAGGGTTAAGAAAGCTTTAGTTTGAAAGTGTGATATTAAATGCTGTTCACCATAAACGGTGCAAATTTTAAATGATTATTGCGTTTCAGATTAAGACTAATACCAGATATTGTGAAAGGTTGGACTATACCTTAAAGATGACGGTTTTCTCATGGCCCACTGCACGAAGCTTAGAGTAGAGTAATGTCCTTTAAGAACTTAAAAATTATCCTGGGTCATCACGTGTCTAGCAATACATAGTGTTGTTCCGATACGACCTTGTACTCGATACCTGTACTCTTGAAAAATATTGAAGAAATGTATCGATGCCACAAATGTATCGGAGAGAAATTGAGTACTTACTCATATCGAACACATTGTAAATACTTATGTCATGTGAAGAAAAACAGAATCGGTTCGAGTACTATCCGACCAAAACTTACCGAAAAAGTAGCCACAAGTTCGTATTTTGCCAAATTTTAATAATTTTCTAATACATGAAAGCAGGAATTGACACTTTCTTTATTAGCCAACTTAACGTGGTGCAAAAACCACAATAGCATGATGCATATATTGTCAGAACCGAAATTCAAAATTTTTGAAAAAGCAAGTAATACTTTAATCGCGTACTCGATACCCACCTAAGTACTTGCGGGAAGGATTCGAGTACAAAAAGTACTCAGTACTTGAAGAAAGTATCGAGTAATTACTTGTAGTTACTCATATCGGAACAACACTAGCAACACAAGATTAATTGTTGTCTTTCACGAAGTTCTTTAAATAAATTTTGAGCTAAGTACTCACCCGTATTTCGGGGGTTACTACTAGTTTTAATAAATTGTTACATTATTCTTCTTCTTTTTTGGCGCTGTAACCGCCTAAGCGATTTTGGCCGAGTTCAGCAAAGCACGCCAGTCGTTTCTCCTCTGTGCCAACTGACGCCAAGTGAAGCCAAGTCCTTCTCCACCTGATCTTTCCATCGCAGTGGGGGCCTCCCTCTTCCTCTGCTACCACCAGCGTGTTCCGAGTTGAATACTTTCAGAGCTGGAGCGTCGGTGTCCATTCGAACGACATGACCAAGCCAGCGGAGCCGCTGTATTTTAATTCGCTGCACTATGTCCATATCGTTGTAAAGCTCATACAGCTCATCGTTCCATCGTCTGCGGTACTCGCCGTCGCCAACGAGTAAAGGACCGTAAATCTTTGTTACTTCAATTTCCTATAAAACTTACCTTTAGGTTTATGCATTTTAAGAATACATCGAAAATTTGTTTTAGAGAATAAATGTGAAATAAATGCAGAAACGATTAACCGGTTTGCTGAGCAACCGAGACGTCTGCTTTATAAATAATTTTTGTAAAACAAATCGGCAAGTACATATCGTCCCCCGCATGCCAGAAACGTGAATGTGTAAAAATGAAAATTTTGGGATTTTTTTATATGTCGGGCCCCCCTAAATTCGATCCTGGCGACGCCCATGCTAAGCAATACTTATTTGCGCGATTTAGTTATTTGCAAATAAAAAATTAACTCAGCGCTTATACGGCAAATTTTACCATACTATACCATAGATAAAATGGATTCGACATGTGGACTTCCAGCAAGTGTTGGTCCTGTATAAGGACCTCATTTACCAAAAGGGATCCAAAAGCCTCGCAGATGTATATTGTGCCACTGACGAGTAACATGTATTTGTGAACCGTGTGATGTTACTCTAAGCATGGAAAAACATTGGTTTAAAAGGGCACATACAAGAAATTGAATACAATTTTTCCCATTGAACACGCTTGGGTACGGCTCCAAAAACCTACTTCTGAATTTTGCGAGCAATTAAATTCGTACATTTTATGTAATTTGTGTTCCTGCTAATAAAATAAAAAGCAAATAAAAACAAGATTTTAGTTTTAAAGGTTTTTGGGAATAAATGGGTTAAGCTGAATTTGCATCATTATGTAGTTCATGCACCTTTTGACCCAGAATATTAGAGTAAATTTATTTTCCATTTCACTACTAATAATATTACATGATCTTGTCAAGGTTCTCATTTCACTAAACAAATCTTAAAGCAACCGAATGTCATGATAAGTACTTTTCAGTGCAATGCACTCAGTTTTGTTATTCAAACAATAACACTGGAGAAGTATGTATGTATGTATGTATAAGTACAAACGTATTTACTGACTTACTATGTACTACATATGTACCTACTGAAACCTAAAAGTGTAACAGTTGTGTAAACAAGAACTCTCGGCACATCAACGGCAATCGAATTGGGCCACGGAGGTGAAATGCAACAGTTAATTGTACTTTCTTTTAGTTAAATTTCCAAAGCCAACGAGGCAACATCCCAACTCTGAGACCATGAAATCACTACAACTAGTAGCTTTAAGTATACTAACAGTATTTAGCCGCAACACCAATGGAGATTATTATACATCCATAACAAGTTTAGGTGACCTGTTGCAGATGGAAATTCGCGTAACTTCAAATTTTGAGAAATATATGGAAGCCATGGAGGAAATCAGTCGTCAAGTGAATGAGTAAGTTGAAAAAATTTGCATTTAAAGTGTATCCATGGAAAGTGAGAGTGCCTTAATTTCTGAACACTCACAGTACACTAAAACATTTGGAGCGTTTTGTCCAAGATGCCGGTGAAGACCTTGAAGATTACTATGGTAACCCGTTGAACGCATATAAAATAATTAATCGATTTGTATTAGATTGGCAGAATTTAAATAAGACTATATTCGACGAGAGGCCCGCACAAGGTAAGTGTGTAAGCAGACAAAGCCCTTGAACTACGGCCGACTTTTCCATCTTACTTCCTACAGCTTATCTGCAAAATCAAACAATGCTTCTTGAAGAGGGGTATTCTGCGCCAACCAACGAGGATTTGTTGGGCGCAAGCAAAGGTCTAGCAAGACTGCAACGCACCTACCGACAAGAGACCGTCGACGTGGCTGAGGGTGACCTAATGGGATTCAACTTTTCTGAAAATTTTACAGCCAGTGAATGCTATTGGCTGGGCAGTAACTTATATGAGGCGGGCGAATATAAATATGCAGCTGAGTGGCTTATACAGGCGCGTGTGCGTTTGGCTCAGCAATTGAAGGCTTCAAATGGCACAAGCGAAGTGGCGGAGGTTACCGATGTACATGTGCTGGCATTTCTGGCGGCATCGATGTATTATTTAGGTCAGTGAGTGAATTAATGTTGGTGCAAACAGGAATTTACGATTGCGCGTTTTCTATATTTACTTAGGAAAGGGCAAGTTAGCGCTGCACTTCAACGATGAACTCTTGATCCAAGATCCTTTGAATAGCCACGGATTAGAAAGCAGAGCACGATACTCGGAGAGAGCGTTTGATGATCGACATGGTCGACCAGTCGAAACTTTGGACATTACAATGTCAAAGGTACTTACATAGAGATCTAAATATATTTTATTTTACATATCGCAACAACCGTTTTTCTTTTATCCAGCGCTTCGAGTTGGACAGCCTTTTCGATTCCGTATGCAACGGTGATCTGCAGCAAACACCTGGCGAAAAACGTGATCTTCGTTGTCGTTATGTGCATAATAATGTACCCTTTTGCTTCATAGCACCTTTTAGGAAGGAAGAGCTTAGTCAGGATCCACCAGTCGCCTACTATCACGAAGTCATTTACGATAGTGAAATCGAACGTATACTCAATGAAACCGAACACAATGTGCAACGTTCAATGGTCGACAATGGAACTTTCTCAGATGTGCGAACAAGTCAGAATACTTGGATCGATTTTGAAGAGCACAGTTTTCTAAATAATCTCGCACAACGTTTAAGAGACATAACGGGCTTAATTTTGGAAACTGCCGAGCTATTGCAAGTGGCCAATTACGGTATTGGAGGCCATTATGGCGCGCACTATGATTTTGCGGAGGTAGTAATTGATATTAGATATATATATATATATATGTGCATTTCTATACTGAATATATCGATTGGATTCTTATTAGGAAACAGGTGATGTTTTTGATGGAAGGGGCAATCGCCTTTTAACTGCATTATTTTATGTAAGTTTGTTTTCCTAAGCAATGTGAACCAATTTAGGGCAAGCGAGAGCTCTACGAAAAGTTTTTATCGCACTTGCATATGTAGGTACATACGCGCTTTACTTAACCTTGCATACTTTAACTAATGACTGTTCTCGCTTATATATTTTCTACTCATTGTATGTGCATTAGGGCGCATCACTGTCCATACAAAAAAATATCGGTACTCATTTTCCATCGCAAATAAAATTTTTTTTATATTTTAACCCTTACGCCCAAATATTAAGATTAACGTGAGCTAGACCTATTTGAAAATTAGTTTTTTAAAATACTTGTTCAAAAATTTTGAATTTTTAACCGACTTCAAAAAAAGGAGGAGGTATGTTACCGCATAGCTTTGGACCACGTTAACCGATTTCTATAATTCTGTTTTAAAGGCAACGTGGTACCTAAGAGGTGGTCTCATACTAATTTGGTTTAGATCCGATCATTGAATCATATAAAATTAACGGTACTCTTAAGTTTGTATATAAAAATAGAAGTCGGTTTGGCTCTTTGCTTAAAAATTACTTTTTTAATGTGTTTGAGGAGGTATTTTCAAATCGGTTCAGCTCACGTAAATCTTAATACTTTTCCGAAATATTTTGGCGTACGCCTTAAAATATAATATCTACATTTTATAAAATTGCAACTTTTTTTGGTAGTGCATCCTAATGTGCATACTTAGTGCGATTGTTTTTCCTAAACCACTTTCTTTCCTTTTTAAATCTTCTTTTCTAATTATATCCAGATCAATGATGTGGAACTTGGTGGTGCCACGGCATTTCCCTATCTCCGCTTGGCTGTACCCCCCATAAAGCGTAGCATGGTCGTTTGGTATAATATGCATGAATCGCTTGAGCTGGACTATCGTACGAAACATGGAGGCTGTCCCGTATTAGTGGGCTCAAAGTGGAGTAAGTTCAAACACTTTTTTT